TTCTTTGAATTTTTGTTTTTGTTTAATTTGAGTTTTATATTTGGATTTTTTTTTATTTTTCCTTTACTTTCATTATTATTAAGAGTATTGCTCTTTTTAGTTTAACTCTATATACTATTAAAATGGGGATACTATATATTGTATCCAATTGTAAAAAATGATTTAGGCTATTATGTTTTTGAACAGATATTATTCCTATTTCCAAACACAGATATTTAATAAAACTTTAATAAAACTGTATTTTATTTTATTCTAGAGTATGATCCGTGCAGACGTAGTAAACTAGATTTTAAATTGCGTGGTAAATTTCTGAACCGTGTGTATTATCTAATGTGCGCATAATTTTTTTGTATATGTTGTTTTGTGGAAAATTGGCTTTTTCAGACACGAACTTTCCGAAGATGTTAAATGTATACTTAAACTTATGTATGGTGCTTGATCATACTTAATCTATATTAATATTTGAAATTCATACTTAATCTTCATTTTAATGGCACAAACCAACTTTTTAGTAAATGCTGTTAACTCTCCGTTAAACAATGTCTACGTGGATGCCACATAAGGGACGACGTTATATTGGGTTTTCTCGGTTTAAAAAAAAAATACGAAACGACGTCGTTACTCTTATAATTATGTGGGAAAAAAGCAAAACCACGCCGTTTTGACTGATCTTCGTCTTCAACCCCTCACTTAACTCAGAGACGAATTAGGGATTTGTAAATCCAGACCTTCAACCTGTCGATTCTTGTTCGAGACCGATATCTTCTTCTAGCAGTTTGGGTAATTTTTTATATGTTTTTCTATATTATGTGTTCGTGAGTGTGATATAGAGCCTGCATCTTTATCTGAGTTAACCAGCTCTGTATGTATAATCAATCTTGTTCCTCTGACATTAGGTAATATTAGCTGTATGGCTCTTTGCTTACACGACACCGTACAAGCCAGGGAGATACTCTCACACTTGCAAAGAAACTCTCTGATATCCCAACTCAGCTATAGATTCTCTCTATCTTCACAGGTTTATTATTAACAGAGTTTTGTCGAAAACAGGAGTTGAGTTTTTAGAAAAAATGAGTCCAAAGCACAATTTTATTGGTGAAAATGCAGCTATGTATCAGCAGTTGGGTGAGAAAGGGAGCGAGATGGAGAACGAAGAACACAGGAAGAAGAAGTGGGATGAGTTGCAGAGTAGACTTGATGAAACACGTGGATCAATTCATCACATTGAACTAGTGAGAAGACCAAAAATGATCTTTTTTTTTTCTGTTTTTTGCAATAAGTAAAAAGATCTGTCAGGCTTAACACACACTCTCTGTTTGTTACAGGTCGGAAAAGCGAGGTTAGAAATTATTCAAACGACATCCTTTGCATTTTTTTTTATCTGAAACCGAAGAAACCCAAAACAACATCGTCTCTTATGTGGACGACACATAAACAAAACTTGACAGAACAATTAACAGCGTCTGGTTAGTAATTGTTTTACGCACAAAAAATAAAGTTTAGAGACGAAATTCAAATAAAAACGAAGATTAAGTATGCATTTCAAATGTTAATATAGATTAAGTATGATCAAGCACTGTACATAAGTTTAAGTATACATTTAACATTTTCCAAAAGTTCAAGCCTGAAAAAACCAATTTTCCGTTGTTTTGTTTTTTTCTTTCAATTTCTTAAATTTATGATCATCCATGAGTTGGTTTAATGAAATGTACACATTTTTTTCTTTGTTATTCATTTTATGCAATTAGTTGATTTTTTTAAAGGAAGATATTAACATTTTTAATTTTAAGTTGGATAATATATTTTTTTAAAAATTTCATGTAAAGTTATTATTATTTGGAGATCGAGTCCTATTTGTTGCGGATGGTTGTGTTTCTTAAGTATACTTCTTAAGTCACGGTAGAATTGGCAGTTTGCGTGAGTGTAGAAATAGAAAGTGTCTAGGGAATCGACAAATAAGCATTGATAATAGACAGAGTTATTAGATATTAATCTTTGCTAGTCCGACAGTGGTTATGACTTCGATGTTCTTCATTATAAAACTTTGTCTTGAATTTCTGCTACAGTAGGTGTAATTTGATTTCATTAGGGAATTTATGCATATACAGTAGGGAAGCTCGTATATATATGCATTGTTCATTATCCGCGAGTTACTAACTTTGAATCATTCTCCGTTATATAATAAGATAGATAAAATGATTTATCAATATGTTACTGTTAAGCTATCTATTTGCGTCTTATGATCTTATATCAAACCAACAATTCAGTAATATATTCTATTCTATTCTAAAATATTCTACCGAAAACAATCACTGTCAAAGTCTTCCGGCGATGACATCAGTTCCCACATGTACATGCTTTGCTTCAAGGGCTTGATAAGGGAGGGAACAACGATTTTATTGGCAAGGTTTGGGGTTGCGATTTGCAACCAAGAGGATAATCTCTTGTTTCAGATGAAGGGACCAATTCATCATGGCTCCGACATTACAATTCGGAAGTCGAGCTTATGGCTTTGAAGCGAGGACTAAATGAAGCAACGAGTTTTAGATCACTCAAATCTCAATCTACTGTGACTATCAACTGCTTTTCGAATTGGTAAGTAGCTTTCCTTGGCGGTTTTAGCTTACTTCATTGTCAAGTTTCACATGTCTTTGCTGCAATCTGAAAATACGTGGTTACACATGTCTTTGCTGCAATCTAACATGTTTTGCGAATACATGGTTTCGTACTCTCTGGAAATGAGTTTGTTTCTTTTTATATCATTATCAGCGTGCTTGTGGATTGCGAATAGGTTAGGAAGAAATCAGCATTTGCTTCTTCTGAATGTGAATATTTGTGTAGTTGAAACACGATTAAAGAATGATTACTCGCTAATTAAGATATTCTGTTTACATGAAATTGTAGGTTAAGATATGGGAAGAAAGAAGAGTGTTTGGATTCTGTTGGAAGAATCTTAGAGATGTGATGCTTGGAGAAGATGCTCCTCTGCCACTTGATGTCAGCAAAAAGAGGCCCCGTGGATCCAAATCCTCAAAACGGGATTCAAAATCGTCAAGAATGGTAAAACACGAAACACCCAGATTTCCTGAGGTGCTTGGTAATAATGTCGAGAACCGAGCTTCTAGATCTACTGAAGGAAATGGGTCTATGAGATGCTGCTTTAAATGCGGTGAACCCTTTTGCATCAACTGCAAAGTTCCGTGGCATAATAACTTGTTGTGTAAAAATATAACAAGAGATTGGGTCCAAATCCTACGGAAAATGATTTGAAGCTCAGTGTTCTAGCAAATCAGAAGATGTGGCATCAATGTGGTAAGTGCCACATCTTCTGATTTGGGAGTATACATGATGCGGGAGGATGCATTCAAGTAACTTGCAGGTATCATCATCATCATCATATTTGAATATGAAATCGCATTCTCTAGCTTATTATGTTTCTTTTGAAATTTGAAATTTTGATTATGTTTTCCTCCTAATTAAAATTGTGTGTTTCATGTTTGATTGATGAATGAATATAGGTGAACCAGAACTACAACGAAAGATACCGAAACAGATAGTTTTAAATACGAACTGGTTATTCTCATAAAATATTTCGGGTACCTGAAACACACCCAAACCAAAATGCGTACTCTGTACTCAAAATATACGTAATATATCCAAAATTAGGTATATATCTAGATTTGAAATAACCAAAATATCTAAAATTAAAGTTATAAACCCAATATATTATTTATGTTTAGATCTAACTACTATCCGAAATATCCAAAATTTTTTTGTTATATTTGTCAAAATAAAGCATTTTTTTTTGCAAACTTTCACAAAAGTTCATTAATTTTGTAGGTTTTTAAAAAATTTAGGATAAATTTTGGATATAAACGGGTCCTAACCGAAGTGGAACTGAAACAAATCCAATCTGAAATAAAAGAAATATCTGAATGGATCCTAAAGTTCTAGTACCGAAAATCTAAACAAGAAAAAACCGATCCAAAACAAAACTGGTATCCCAATGACTAAGCGACCAAACCTAGCTAGTTCTATTGTTGGTTATAAACTTATAACTAATAATTAAAGAGAAAATAAAATATTTTTTCTATTAAAACAGAAACATGTATTGTGTTCAAACATATTTTTTTTAGTTTTTTACTATTCTATTTCTGAATATTTTTTATTTGTGTTGCCAAACAAAAATTTTAATTTTATTCATCTGTTTTATTTATTTTCAAAATTAATAAAATAACATTTTTAAATTTTATCTTTAAAATTAATATCGAAATTTTTAAATTTTAATTTAATTAGTTTAGATTTTATTAGATATAGTTAAGATTAATTATCAAAATTACAAAAATCAGTTTTTATTATTTTTACAAAATAGTAAATAAGATATTAACTTATTTTTTTTTTAAATATCCAAATTTAAATAATATTCGCATAATTATAAAGATAATAAATAATATATTATTATATAATTTTTTTATAATCAATTATTTTAAGATTTTAAATATTTAAAATTCAAAAAAATATAGATTATATGGTAATATGAACATATAGGGTAAAATTATGTTTTTATAATCGTGGTCAAATTTATTAAAAATAATAATTTTAATTTTAACACAAAAATAAATTCTTTCATTTATTAGAAAATATTATGTCTATAAAATGTAAATTATATTATAAAATTAGATTACAAAAATAAAATTTTTCGTGCAAACACACGGGATAGAATATAGTTTAAGTTATAATTAATTACTTATTATTGTAACACGAAACACGTAATATTGTTAGGAAAATATCATCGAAAGATATTTCCCTTTTCTATTTGGATTATGGTCGATTCATAGTTTCTCACCATATATACGAATCATAGAAAGCCTACGACTCTATAGTCTTCTAAGAGTGCTATTGTCGGTAGCAGAGAAAAGATGATCAGTGGTGGATTTTCTACAGTAGATGGCCCAAAAATCTCACTAGAAAAACCCTTTCGCATTGGTCCTTACTTGTACAGCCTTTACTCCAAGGGTTTGGTAAGGGATGACTCATTGGCCGGATTTGGGGTTGCAATTTGCGGACAAAAAGATGATGTCTTGTTTCAGATGAAGGGACCAATTCATGGCTATAACATAACTGTGTTGGAGGCTGAGCTTACGGCATTGAAGCGAGGACTAAAAGAAGCTGCAGATCTAGGGATCAATCATATCACAATTTACTGTGATTATCATCCCATTCACGAATTAGTAAGTTCTCCTTGTTTGCTTGTATCTGTTACAAACATCGATTTCCAAAGGCTAAAGTTTAGTGTACCTGATTATCATAATTATTGACTCTGATTCTCTTGCATTGCGTGTAGGTCACGGGAAGATCCATGCCGAAGGATAATAAGACTGCCGTGCTAATAAATGATGTGCAACGCATCAGGGAACGCTTTGCGTCAAGTTTTCTGATTTTAGTATCCGGAGATAGCATGAAATATGCTTATAAACTAGCAAAAGAAATAATAGTTTCTGAAATCAGCATATCTGTGGATCCTCCTCGCAAAGCCAAGCCTGCTCCGAAAAGCACTTGTCCTATCTGTTTTGATGACGATACCAATGCTGATCAGATGTTTACTGTTGATAAATGCCGTCATCGGTTTTGTTCCCAGTGTGTGAAACGACACATAGAGGTAAGGCTACTCGATGGAAGTGTGATGAGATGTCCTCACTACCGTTGCAAGTCTAAGCTGGCTCTTAACAGCTGTGCCAGTATGTTGACACCAAAACTAAATGCGTTGTGGCAAGAAAGGATCAAAGAAGACTTGATTCCTTATGCCGACAGAGTTTATTGCCCCAACCCGAAGTGCTCGGCTTTGATGTCGAAAACCGAGCTGTCTAAATCGAGTAAAGAAGCTGGATATAGGAGATGTTGTTCCAAATGCGGTGAACATCTTTGCACCAACTGTAAAGTTCCGTGGCATGAAAATTTGGCATGCAAGGATTACAAGATGTTGCATCCAAGTCCTACAGAAAATGATGGAAAGCTAAAAGCTCTAGCAAATCAGAAAATGTGGCGTCAATGCGGAAATTGCCAACACATGATTGAACTTTCAAAAGGATGTGTCATCGTAATTTGCAGGTATCATCTCTAATCACATTATTTCTTTCTTTTTTTCTTTTTTTCTTTTTTTAGTCACATTTTTCCTTTTGAATAATTTTATTAAGAAAATACATCATTGCATTTCATGGTAGATGTGGACATGACTTTTGTTACCGATGTGGAGCCAAGGCTAAAAGTTGCCGTCATGGTCTTGGCCATGGCCATCCACCATCGCCGCTACAGCCGCCACCACCACCGTCACAGCTGGGGGTTTGGATCTTAATCTGTGTTGTTTGTATATTTGTAATTTTGCTGATTTATTTTTATAAATAAGGATAATCGACTTTGGTTGTTTACAAGGTTTAATGGTTCGATGGGAAATCAAATTACCATTCGATCGGATTGTCCAGTTTATTCCCTAACTTGATTTTGAAATAGACAAATATTTATGTGTTTTTTCTTCTAATATTTCATTCTTCCAAATATAAACATTTTTTTCTATTAAGATCACGGTTAAAAATAAAAATAAATAAAAATCCAAGGAAAATAAGTTAAAATCCAACTGTTAGTTGTGATTGTATACTACAACAAATATCCACCTAAAGCAATGATAAGTTTTGTTTTCCTTATAATAGTGGTTCTACAAGCAATGTATACGTTCAGATTTACGTTGTTCTCATGTCAATTGGCCATCGGAAATATATTACAGGCGACCCTGCTTTTGCTGAAATGTTGGTACACTTATCCCATTTCATGAAATGTTTATGCTTACTTTATAATTTTTGTGTGGTTTTCACGTTTTAATGTGCCCTTTTGTATACCACCATTATGTGAAATACTCACAAGAGTGTAGAAAATTATATTTATGTTGGTGAATCATGTAGGAGAAAAATGCTTTCTCTTTGACATTCATGTGACAGATTAGAATCATAGATTTTTATCTCACCGTTAATACAATACTTGGATTTGCACACCATTCAAAACGACACATCTAACGTTTAACGGAAAATTGGCCAATTCCTACCTGATTTATTAACTTATGTTAATCTCAGACCCGAAGTTATAATCAATGCGAAAAAAATCTTGAACTTCTGATTAATTTGAATTTCATCCTTAAACGTTTTTTTGGTGCTTAAACATGATTTTCACCAAATACCGTTAATGTTCCGTTAAATTAATCCTATGTGGTTAACACAAAAGCAGAACCAATCCAATAAAAAAAACAAATATTCATTGTAAATTACGAATGTGCTGGGCAGTTGTTTTCCTCCATCTCTTTCAAAATCTTTAGTGCTTCCGTATAAACTCCTGCTTTACCAAAAACGTTCATAGTCGCCTGGCTTAAGTTCAGCAAAAAACTCATTCGCCTCTCTTAACAAACTTTCTCTTGCACAAGCAGATATCACAGTGCTACAAGTAAATTCATCAAACTGCAAGCCTTTGCTTCTCATCTCGTCTAGAACTAACAGAATTTTGCTCCAAGACCTTCCCATCTTCCCAAAAGCATCGACAATCACGTTGTAAGTTACCAGAGTAGGCGAATGTCCCATCTCTTTCATCCTCTCAAAAAATGATAGGTCTTTCATACTTCCCTGTTCGTGAATAAGTATACAGGATGGTTGTGTAAGCATGAATATCGAGAAGGTGATCTTGTAGAGGAATTTTATCGAGCAGCTTAGCTGGGTATTGAGATTCTCTACCTAAGATTCTAACTACGGTTTCGATGACCTGATGATGATAACCTGATGATTAAGCTTCAAAGCTCCTGAATTAGAATCCAAAACTAACCATTCAAACAACAAAACTGCTCTTTCCCAGTTTCCAAAATCATGTAGAGCCTTCACCAAACTAAACAAATCGGTTTTGAGCAACTCAGGTGTCTCGGAATCCAGGAATTCACTCAATCCGTGCAAAGGCTGCTCCACAATGGAATTGAGCAGCACACCTTCCTTCTTCCACAGTAGTTTCAAAGACCCATCCCTGAATTTTCCTTCATCCTTCCGATTTTGATACCCAGAATTGAAACGGGTCTTGTCGATTTCACCTCCTAAAGCCATTTATGAGCCGATTCTGTGGAGGAGATCTCGAGGGAAGGAAAACGAGCGGCAGTAGAATTGGTATGTCGCGGCGTGGAAGAGAGGTGAACGAGATGGTGGAGGAGCGAATGGAGAGGAAAAGTAGGAGGGGAAGGAGGATGTAAGTGGAGTGTAGCGGAGCTGAATTTGACGGAGTGATTAGAGGGTTGAGATGGTAGAGATTTAATTGGTTCTGCTTATGTGTTAGGCACGTAGGATTTGATTTAACAGAGTATTAACGGTATTTGGTGAAAATCATGTTTAAGCACCAAAAAAACGTTTAAGGATGAAATTCAAATTAATCAGAAGTTTAAGTTTGTTTTCGCACTGATTATAACTTTGGGTCTGAGATTAACATAAGTTAATAAATCAGGTAGGAATTGGCCAATTTTCCGTTTTAGAATAGTGGCAAACAGCTGATTAGTAGCCAACACATAAAGATGAGATGCTGAAAATAACAGCGTCGCTCTAATCCTCATGCATCGGGATTCATCTTCAGCGACAGTTTTCCTCTCACTGATGTGTTATCTTCTCTCTGCCAAAGCTGTTTTACTCCATCGCTACCATTAACGCAGCAACAAGTAAACTAAGAGAAGAGGCCTACTAAAGCATGATGAAAAATTTGATGGATCCTGAATGTGCTTTTCATATTTACTTTGTTCTCATGTCAATTGGCCATTGGAAATCGTTTACAGGCGACCCTGCTTTTGCCGAAATATTGGTACATGTCTCATTTCATAAAATGTTTATGTTTACTTTTCATTTTTGTGTGGTTTTCACTTTTCAGTGTGCCCTTTTGCAATACCACCATATCTGTAATAACTTGGGACACAAGATAGGCGTCTTTACTCTGCCTCTGTTAGTTCTTTCAGATGAAAGAACCAATTCATGGCTCTGACATTATTGTTTTGGAGGCTGAGCTTAAGACACTGAATGCGTGGAGTGGACCAAGCGAAGCCTTGGGTTCAGGGATCACTCATATCTCAATCTACTGCGATATAGAGAAAGGTTAACTTTTTTTTTTTTTTTTTTTTTTGAGAAAGGTTAACTTAAAGCAAAATGAGAGTAAAAATTAACCATCATGAAACCGACGAAGCGCATTGTGGATATCATACTTGGATATTAAAGATTTTTAATAGAGGAACTTAATTAGTTAAAAGATACAAAAGATTAAAAAAAAAAAAAATGGATTTGAAATTTAAAAAGATTTATAGCAAAAATAATGAGAATCTATAGAGAATCGGTTATACATCTTCGAAAAATAAGAAAATCAATCGACACTTACCAAAACCTGTTGCAACTAATTAATAAATTAAGATTTTCTTATTTAATAATGAAAAGTTCATATATCTTGATCTTCTCAAGCACGATACAATATTCTCTTTTCCTTTATATTCACTCAGATGTTTACCATTAAAACTTAGACTAAAAACAGCCATGGAAAGAGATGAAGTAGCAGGCATGATTTCGAAGAAACGTCGAAGTGGAGATTTCCCAAGGCGTGACGGCGATGATTCTTCTAAGGTCGTCGTCGTCGAAACCAAATCCATGGCGGCAAAATTTGTGGACAATGGGTTTAGTGAGTGACCAGGTTGCAGAGGACGGGAAGATGACGGTGATGGCTGGATTTGGGGTCGCGATTTGCGATCAGAAGGATCAGTTGTTGTATGAGTTGAAGGAACCAGTGAGCGACGCCGAGATTGACCGCAAAGAAGTTGAGATTACGGCTCTAGTTCGTGGGTTAAGTGTATCACTCAAGATGGGGATCAAGAACGTCGTGATCTATTGTAAAGACTGTGAGATTTACCAAATGGTTAGTGTTTTTGTTAGTTTATATGCACTTTTTAATAATTTGTTAATTATACAAGAACTACTAACCTTTTCCTGTAATTGTTAAAATTTAACGAGTTTTTAAGATAATAGTTTATCTTACCTTTTTTAGTAAATTTCATTTGGTATTGTTTATTTAGGTGGAATGTGGAGTCCTTAACATTCGGATTGTATTTGCATGATTAGAGAAAAAAAATTTATTTAAATAGGTTTCTCTCGTGTTTAATTACACATTATGTCGTTATGAACTAATTGGTTTTTTTAAGGAAAAAGAAAATTTAGACCATTTCTACGTGTCATCCTTGCACATAGACCATATTAATCTTATGAACTAATTGTTAGCTTGTAATATTTGTGAGAAGTAACTTCTGTGAACAGTTATCATAACATTTTTGTATAATAATATATGCTTTCTCAAAACGAATTTTATTAATGTGGAAACTTAAACAGAAGCTAAAAACATATATTGTTATGTCCTAGTGTCCATTTTGAAACGATGATGACTTTGATAGTGATGTTTTCAATCATGTCTTGCTTTAATGAGATAGATTAAATTCTTTTTTTTCATGCAGATAACTGGTAGATGTGACCCTAAGAAGAAAGGAATGATCCAACTTATGGAAGAAGTCGGACGCCTTAGACAAAAATTTGTTTCTAGCGAAGCTACTCTGGTTGCTCCAAACGATATAAAGTTTGCTTATAAACTTGCAAGAGATGCAGTGTTTTCTCAAACTAGCAATGCCGATGCTGACGAACATGATGATAATAATGATGATGATGATGATGATGATGATGATGATGATGATGATGATGATGATGATGATGATGATGATGATGATGATGATGATGATGATGGTGATAATGATGAAGATGATGATGATGGTCATGATCATGAGAATGATAATCCATGGGCTTACGGTTGTGGTTGTGATCATTGGGGTAATTTTGATTCTCCCCCGGCCACTGGCATCGACATCGACATCGATATCGACACTTACATAGATCAGTTTTATAGTCGTTGGTAGATCTGTGTTTGGATCAACATGGTTGAAACATTTTCCATCTCTTTCTTTGAATAATTTTTTTTGGGGGTTTATTTGAGTTTTAATACGTAACTCTGAGATTCTGGATTTTCTTTATTAGTCCTTTACTTTCATTATTATTAAGAGTATCGCACTTTTTTCTTTTTACATTCATAATTATGGCAGAGTGGAAGATCATCAATATATGTAGATCAAAGTTAATCTTTTTTTTTTTTTTGGGTCGAACATTTAAACTTCATTAATCAAATCGCAGTGTTCAAAAGAGCTCGAAGAGCATCTTTTGCAATACAATCCGCCTCGGCATTGAGAGACCGAGGAACATAAACGAAAAAAATCGTAGTAAACGATATCACTAAGTGACGAATATCTGTAACACTGGCATGGATCTCTGTGTGAATATCCTGGGAGTTGAGCACAT